TGGACAAGGATAAGGACCCAGACGCGTGCGCGCAGAAGGTCATCGAGGGCATCATGCACTTGAAGTTCTGCGTGAAGCAGTGCATCGACCAGGTCGTGGAGGGGAGATGCTTCCCCCGCGAGCATCCAGACCGAGCATAGAGCTGGTAATTTGACTTTGCGCTGGAGCTCATGCAGCGGCCGGTGTTTTCGCGAGTTGTGGGACATCGATGCTGCTGGGGCCAGCGGGCGGTGGATTTCGATTGCGAGACGATGGGCCTGGTTCTCAAGCCCGCCGGCTGGATGTGCAACTCCGAGCGCATCCTGGCCGAGTTGTCGAGGGGGTGTGGGAGCGAGACGCCTCCTCGCAGGAAGTGGCGCCGTCGCGTTCCGTTGGGGGGGGGGGGGGGGGGCTAGGACGAGGATGGCGCGGAATTATCCGCCAGCTCTGGTAGCAGCTATCATGAGAGGCACGAAGGCGCTGATGATGGTACACGGCAACCTGAGCGAGTTGACCGCGGGCGTGACCTGCGAGGAGGACCCGGCGAACTGGGGCGCGGGGGACTGCGAGGAGTTCAGGGGGAACGTGTCCAGGCAGCTCTTGGACACCAAGCTGGTCCGCGCAGGCCGGGGGGGGGGAGCTGTGGCGCATGGGCGAGATGACGGTGTGCGAGGAGGTCCCAGAGCTTCTGCATGGAGGAGACTGGGGCGGCGCCCATCTAAAGCAAGTGGGTGGACGACAGGGCGACGACGCTCGCCCAGAGATCGGATGCAGATCTGCCGCGATGGAGTTGAAGTGTGCGCAGCAAAGGGCTGGCGTCTTCAGAGACGACGTGTTCTCGGCCACACCGCCGCAAGAGGTTGTCCAGATGCTATTCGGTAAGATGATGAGCAGGGGGCGCGGCGATTGCAGGCGGAGGAAGCTGATGTTCATAGACACTCGCAGGGCGCACTTCCACGGCCCGGCGCGCTGGCGGGTATGTGTCCAGCTGCCGACCGAGCGGCGCAAGCTGGGCCGGTGCGCATTGCTCCTCGAGATCATGTGCGGCACGAGAGACGCAGCGGCCAACTTCGCCGACAAGGTGATGGAGGTGCTGCGCGAGGTGGGCTTCGCGATCGGCGTGTGCTGCCCATGCTTGTGCAGGCGCGACGGCAGCGGCGTCCTGCTCTTCTACCGCGGGGGCGACGTCGTGGCGGAGGGCGAGAACGAGGCGCCGGAGTTTTTCGAGGTCGAGCTGTCCATGCGCCTGCTGGTGAAGTTGCAAGGGGCGCTCGGTTGGGGCCTCAGCGACATGCGAGTGATCGCGCTGCTCGACAGGATCGTCCCGCTGACCGAGACCGAGACCGAGATCGGCGTTCCGTGCTGGCAGTTGGAGGGTGACCCCCGCCATCCAGAGATAGTCCCGTCGCAGTTCGGGCTCGGGCTGGACATGGGGCAGCGAGCGAGTCGCGTCGCTTGGTGTCGAGTGGGCGGCGGAAGAGTTGCTGAAGTGGCCCCTGCTCAATGCGACGGAGACGGCCCTCTTCCGCAGCGTGTGCGCGAGGATCAACTACCTGGCGACGGATCGCATCGACCTGCTATGCGCGGCGAAGAAATTAGCGAGATCGATGAGCAAGCCAACGCAGGTGGCCATGATATGGTCAAGCGCATCGGACGCTACTTGCCGAGGGTCGTGCAGCGCTTCGTTCAGCAAGACGAGCCGGACATCCTGACGGTGGCGTGTGACTCAGACCACGCGGACTGCGTGATCACACGGCGCAGTGCTACGGGGCCAGCGCTGCGCCGCGGCGCTCGCCTGCTGAAGGCGAGCGCCAGCGCGCAAATGTGGTGGCGACGTCCAGTGGCGAGTCGGAGTTCTGCGCGATCGCGCGCGGCACCGGCGTGGGGCTCGGCGCGCAGAGCATATGCAAGGATTTCGGGCTGGTGAAGTGCCTGGGGATCGAGACGGATGCGACAGCCGGGCGCGGCGTGGCGCTCAGGCTGGGCGCGGGTAAGGTGAGGCGCCTACACATGCAGTGCGTGTGGGCGCAGGGCAGCTTTCATGAGAGGCGAGCGAAGCAAGTCAAGGTCCCGGGCGAGTCGAACACTGCCGACCTGATGACCAAGCACCTCGCGGGCGAGAAGATCGATTTCTTCCTGGATCGGTGCGGGCTCGTGAACCTGGAGGGGCGCAGTAAGCTGTCCCTGAGGGCGGCAGTTTGATGCGGCTTGGGCCGAGGAGCTCGGCCACATCTTTTCCATATAGCAGTGCGGCTGTGAGCCGCGGCGAGAGCAGCTGCAGGCGTGTCCGCGCCTGTCAACGGCGACGCGACTGGCGCGGCCTGGTCGAGGTGGGCATCTTCCCACAGCCGTGTCGGTTCAAAAGGAAGTAATCATCGACAAAACTCACATTTCCAGAACACACTGTTCGATGGGTAGCAGGTGTTGCGGAGACCTCTATGTAAACAGTGTTTGCGGCAATGTTGTAGAGAACCGATATATCCATCACCACAGTAATTCGTTTGGAAGGAAGGTACGCTAATCAGTTTCAAGTGGAACAACCTCTTTTGCTACGTGTTCTGAGCTCCAGCAACCCGCGCAATGCGCGTTCCGGCGCGCGCCGGTCACCCGTCACCCGTCACTTGTTGTCGGGGGGAAACAAAACAGAAACCAATTTTCGCTGGTGAGTCAGACGGAATTCGAGGTGGTCGCATATTTTGGGACGTGGGTCCTCCTCCGAAGATGTTTCGGGCGACTGGGGCCTTCGAGGTCCCCCCACACGGTGCGGTAGCGGACCGTGCGGTGAGGTCTTTGGGGGTTCGGGATTCCGAGGAACCTGCACGGTCTGTCACCACGCCTGTTTGGTGGCCCCGACGGCGCTTTCGCTGTGAATCAAAGGGTGTCCTGCAGGGGAATGGTTCACGAAGTTTTCCACTGGTCTCGGTCTCCTGGGGTCCTCTTCCGGGCCCCGTCATCGGACGACCTGCAGGGGACGAGGTCCCGAGCTTTTCCGCCGTTTTCGGTCTCCCGGGGCCCTCCCCCAGGCCCTGGGACGGTCAGCGAACGACTCAGGACGAGACGCTGGTCTCGGGGGGGAGCCGCTGCTAGGTCCAAGACCCGTTTCTGTCAGGCCCTTTTCTTCCATGCCAGTTGTTTCTTCGACAAGTCACGGGGGCGATACAGTCGGACCGAGGTATCAAATCGAGGTCGGTCCGGGGAGGGTGCCCTAATGTTTTTCGTGCTTATTGGACGTTTTGTGCACCCTGGGGAGGATACCCTGGGATGTCTTGTGTGGTTTGGCCAGCGGGGGGTCTTGTGTTCTTGAGGGATGTTCTTCTGGCCTAGGTCCGACTGTACGCCCGAGGTGTCAGCACGGCCTCCTCGACGCCCACAGCGCTGCAGTATCCAGGGGGGCAGCAATAATATGGCAGCGCAAAGGCAGGAATAATACATGAGACTGAAAGGTTGACAGATATCCGAGGCCAGGATTTAACAATCGCCGCCGCCGGGGGGAGCGATCTTCGAAGACCTCGGCAGGCGGTGGATACGAGCCTGCCGAGCTTCCCGAGGATCGATCCCCGAGGCAGAAGATGGATAAATCCCGCCTCGCAACACAGGCGTGCAGTACTCCTGCCCCTCGTCCAGTCCTGAACCTCCAACACTTCCACCCCGAACAGTGGCCGCCTGGTCCCTTTGCTGCTGTCGCTCCTCCCAGCCGTCGTGGCACCCGCCTGCCTCGCCCAGCAGGGTCCCTTGAGACCGATGCCTGGGTGCTCATTGGGGGCGTCGCGGTGGGAGTCCGAGGACTGTGTGTATGTGTGTATGTGTGTGTGTGTGTGTGTGTGTGAGTGTGTGAGTGTGTGAGTGTGTGTGTGTGTGTCTGTGTCTGTGTGTCTGTGTGTCTGTGTGTCTGTGTGTCTGTGTGTCTGTGTGTCTGTGTGTGTGTGTGTGTGTGTCTGTCTGTCTGTCTGTCTGTCTGTCTGTCAGTGAGTGTGTGTGGTTATCGTGGCCAGTGCCTCTATATCTCCCAGAGTTCATGGCTCCCTCCCCTTCTCTGCAGCAGGCTCCCTGGCGCCCCCCCCGTCGTCCGCGCACGTGCCTCGGGCCAGGATGCGAACACTCCACGGGCGGGCACTCTCTAAGCCGCTACGGAACGGACCACACGGGTGGACACAACGCCGACTCCAAGATGTCTCGACCCATTCCCCTGGACCGGCTTCTCATCCCGAGTTGTTTTTCAACGGTCCCAGGCCCCGGCGAAAAACCCAGAGGCCGAAGATAGAACAGACCTCCCGCCGTGTTTTTTTTTCACGCCGCTGGGGGCCCGTTTCTTTTATCCCTGGCGATAACGGGCGTGACGGGGGGTGGGAGGGGGAGCAAGGGGCTGGTAACGTCACAATGCGCGCCAGGGCCGTCTGGGAACCAGCTACCCCTAGCAATTCCCAAACGGCGCCGGCGCGAACTGTGACTTTACCAGTTGTGGGGGGAGGGGGGAGCATCCCCGGTGACGGCCGTTATCGCGATTCGTAGAAAAACGCGCTCGAGAGGGTCGGAGGAGGAGGCGGAGGCGGAGGCGAGTAGGAGGAGGAGGAGGCGGAGGAGGAGGCAGAGGAGGAGGCGGAGGAGGAGGAGGGTAGGAGGAGGAGGAGGAGGCGGAGGAGGCGGAGGAGGAGGAGCAGGAGGAGGAGGAGGAGGAGGAGGAGGAGGAGGAGGAGGAGGAGGAGGAGGAGGCAGGAGGCAGGAGGCACGAGGCAGGAGGCGGAGGAGGAGGAGGAGGAGGAGGAGGAGGAGGAGGAGGAGGAGGAGGAGGAGGAGGAGGAGGAGGAGAGGAGGGAGGGAGGCGGAGGAGGAGGAGTAGTAGGAGGAGAAGGCGGAGGAGGAGGAGGCGGAGGACGAGGAGGAGGAGGAGGAGGCGCAGGAGGAGGAGGAGGAGGAGGAGGAGGAGGAGGAGGAGGAGGAGGAGGAGGAGGAGGAGGAGGAGCTCCCCGATTACCTACAGCTCTCTCGGCCGGGGGAGGAGACAGGGGAGGGGGGGGGACCAGGGCACCGCCGCGCTGTTCGAGCTGCACCGCCGGCTCCTGAGCGAGCCCGAAGACGGCCCGCCGCTGAACGGCGAGGGCGGCGGCGCTGAGGGGCTGCTCCGCCTGGCCGTCCCTACTCTGGACTTCTTAATAAGCGTTGGGGGGTACCCCCCCGACGGGGGTCAACCTCGCCTCGTCGTCGCGCCGCGACGGGGGTTCGGAGCGCCTTCGGCGCGGTGGCTGGCCGCGAGCACGAAGGGGGGGGGGGTCGAGAGGGGAGCCGCTCGTTTTGGGCGTAAAGCTCTAGTTAGCAAGGACTCGGGCTTGCTCACGCGTTCTGACGAGCCCGTCCTCGGTTTTGACGGTCCAGTTGTCGTGGGAGTTTTGCAGCGGGAGCTCGCGTCAAGTTTCAGATCGGGTCTTGTCATTTTCCTGACGGTCCCGTCGGGTCAATCCGAGTCCCCCGAACGTGGGTCTTACGTCTCCCCGATTGATGTCACCGAGCACTTCGGATGTGCTCTTCTGAGGGTGGACCCTGAGCTCCGGGGGGTGCATTTTTTTACACTGTGCGTTTTCGTCCTGAATCGAGCCCCAGGGCCATCACAGCTTGACCTGGCTCGACAACTGCAGCAGAAAGCGATGTTCCCCAACCAGAGCTTGCCTCTTGCCTCTGTAGGGGTCCTAGCGGATTCATATGGTTAGGTGAGGTGTGCCGCCGATTTCCGCGGCCCGCCCGGGTGCCCGGGTGCTCGGGGGCCCGGGGGCCCAGGTGCTTGGGTGCCTGGGTGCCCTGGTGCCCTATAGCGCTATATCCCTACAGCCCTATAGCCCAACGGCCCAAGATGCCCTATAGCTTGATAGCCCTATAGCCTTATAGCCTTATGAGCCTATAGCCCTATCGCCCTAGAGCCTTATAGCGCTATAGCCCTATAGCCTTATAGCCCTATAGCCCCATACCCTATAGCCCTATAGCCCTATAACTTTATAGCCTTCTGGCCCTATCGCCCTATCGCCCTAGAGCCGTATAGCTCTGTAGCCCTATAGCCTTATAGCCCTATGTATAGATTTATAGCCTTAAAGCGCTATAGCCCTATAGCCTAATAGCCCCGTAGCCCCATAGCCCTATGGACCTATAGCCCTATAGCCCAAGAGCCCAACAACCCTATAGTCCTATCGCCCTATAGCCCTATAGCCCTATATCCCTATAGCCTTATAGCCTTACAGCCCTGTATCCCTGTAGCCTTATAGCCCTATAGCCCCATAGCTCTATATGCCTATAGCCCTATAGCCCCGTAGCCCTATATCCCTATAGCCCTATAGCCCTAGGGTCCTACAGCCCTATAGCCCCTATATCCCTATATACTCATAGCCCTATGGTCCTATAGCCCTATAGCCCTATAGCCCTATAGCCTCATAGCCTTATAGCCCGATAGCCCTATAGTCCTATAATCCTATAGCCCTATACCTCTATATATGCCTATAGCCCTATAGCCCTATAGCCCCATAGCCCTACATCCCTATAGCCCTATAGCCCTACGTCGGCCCAATGAAAGTTTCTTGAATTTTCATCACGACGCTGGCCGGCGGAAGTCGACGGAAGTAAAACGAGGCGGAAGACGGGGGAAGGCCGCCGGAAGGCTTGCGGATGTCAGCGGAAGTAAACGACGCCCCTTCCAAACCCCCTACCCCCGTAGAAGCCTAGCAACGTAGTCTTCTTCCGTGGGCCGGGCGGGATCCCGCCTGGCTTATTCCGCTTTAATATTATAAGTTTAGTTCAGGACGATTATAATCCCACCCATTAAAAATGGGATAGAGTAAAATCCCGGGTCGTTCACGGATCCCGCCATGCTGGGATCGGCTCGAAGTAAAGTGGGGGTCACAAGTTGCAGTTTCATTGCCGCGTTGGGGCCGTCTTGAGGTCATCTTGAGATCATCTCCCGGTCGCGTTTGGATCACGCAGTCGTCGCATGGTCATTCTGGGGCCACCTTGGGCGCGCTTGGATCCATCTTGTTGCCATCGGGCCATCTCGGCGTCACACGTTGCTCGTGTGTTTCGTCATCTGCGAGTCGGCCTGAGACGGTCCAGAATGCATGGCGGGATCGTGTTGGGGTGGCATCATCCTGGGGTCGTCTGGACGTTATCGTCCGTGGCCTGAGGCCCTCCTGGAAGCATGTGGTGGCCATGGGGCGTCTTGGGATCGCGTGCGTGGGAGCGCCGAGCACGCTCGCGCGACTTTTCATCTTGCTGACGGGTATACATGCATATTCTTCCGCTTGCGAGTTTCCAAGGAAAATTTTGTTGGAGCCAAGTATGGTCCTATAGCCCTATAGCCCCATGCCCCTTTAGACTCATAGCCATATGGCCCATAGCCCAATAGCCCCATAGCCCCAGAGCCCGATAGCCCCATAGCCCTATAGCCCTACAGCCCTGTAGCCCTATGGCCCTATAGCCCTATAGCTATAGCTCGATAGACTCATAGCCCTATGGCCCTATAGCCCTATAGCCCCAAAGCCCTATAGC